ATAAATCTGATGTTATATATTTTGTAATATATGCACATCAAAATTTTTATTTCTTCATTTCTATATTTAAGGGAAAAATTATGCAGTTATAAACTATAAACATGTCCTTCGAAAATGGAAATTAGAGATGTGATGGGTTTGAGAAGATCTTTGCATTTAATACATCTACTTTTTATTGAACCAAGAAATCTAAAACAATCTTATTTCTATGATATGTACACATTGAAACTAAATAAGATCAAAGCATTTAATGCCATACTGTGCAATTAAACCTTAACATGTTCAAAGTGATTACTTGAACATGTACAAAGAGGTTTAATAACTTTATCTTTTTTAATGTACACTCCCATTTATTAGGTTAAGATAAACAAGGTATAAATATTTTTTTCAAAAGCAAATTATAGGAAAAAAGTGTATACAATCACTAAAATGTTTTTAGAAATAAAGTGGGCCTGAATATTTCTGATTTCATGTCTGTAAATCAGAATTATAAGTTCATAATTGTATGGTATAAGAAAAATTATTAGCATTAATTGAAAATAAATATTTTCCCTTGAAGTATTTCATAAATCGTATATATTTGACATTTAAAAGACATTATATATTAAAATAACCCTTCTACTTCATAATTATACATTAAAAATGGACATGGAAGTTTTTAGCAAACCATATCAAATATCTTAGGTCACCGTGTAGTATATAAAGATAGAAAAGAAATTGAAAAGGTATAAAAATTGCAAATAAGCCTAATGGAAAATTATTTTTTACTAAAAATATTTTCGGAAATCTAATTAGTCTAAAAGTATTACAGATTTTCTTTTATAAACTATATCCTTATTATAATTCGAAGTCTTAATGAACATGCATGGTTGTTTAAAAAGAGATCACGGAAAATTTCATGATTCATAACAATTAAAAAGTATTTTAAAAATTTTGAACAATTATAGAAATCAACAGATCTAAGATAAATTCGGATACTTGATTAAATGGGAGTATGAACTGTGAAAAAAGAAATTTCTATGAAAAATTATATAATAATACCGGCGATTGCAGCGATGATATCCCACCGATGATGTACTCCGTCTCTCTATCCACCGATCTCTCGAAGCTCTCTCTCCAAACTCTCTATCTCTCTTTTTCAAATAACATCCTATCAATCTATCCCACTGTTTTCCTCTCTCACTCTCCCTGTATTTCTCTTTCTCGCTCTCTGGAGTAATTCATCGGCTGCGATTGCACATCGAAGAAAGCAAAGAAGGTAAAGGATAGAGAGAAGATCGGTGTAGGCGGCAGATGAACGTGTGGTCTTGAATGACGGCCAGGAGATAGGTTATACCGATTATATTTTTAAACTGGGCTAAAAAATGGGCTAGAGTGACCTTATGGATTGGGCTCTGGTCTTGCCAAAATTTTTGGGCCACACTTCTTTTTTTTAGACTTGGTTTGTAATAAGAAAATTAAGAAAATTGAAAAAAATATATTTATATAAAATAATATTACAAAAATTACATTTTTATATTCTTTAAGTTATTGTATTTATTGCAAAACTAAAACAGGAATTGGAAGTTGGTTGAGTCGATGTTACAAGTGCAAGAGTAATCGAGACTCTGAATTTATCGAAGATTGTTGGAAATGCTTTAACGTACGTGGTCATTTATCGTGCTTACAAATTGGTGACGTTGGATGGGGACTCTTTTTTGTTTGTGATGATTGTTCGAGACTCACAACACCCTTAATGACACGACCGTTACGACGACGATCTAAACGAGTGAAAATTCCAAACAAGAAATATTTCAAAGATCTTTATGTTCTTGATTAAGTTTTTAAATATTATGTTCTTAATACTAAATGTAGACAATTATGTTATGTAAGATAGTATTAAGTTGGAACATTTTGAAAACGTTTCCAACAGTATTGTTTCCAACATGCTTTTCAGATGTAATTCAGGGTTGTTAAGTATTCGAATGCCTATTGTGATTATGAAGAATATTAATTTTTGCTAATGAAAATCTGAATTCATACCACTATTGATTACCAACATATCATTCTACACGCTTAACAAAGATATAAATTTTATTATTAGTTTTTAAGTTAAACATTGTATGCTCCAAGTTTGTATGCCAATTTTTATTTTCATAATGTTAGTTTTTAATTATTAAAACCTAAATTTATAGAGTTAGATATGCTTAGAAAATATGCTTTTTTATTACTCCCTCCGTCTAGAAATATTCTTCCCGTGTTGACTTGGCACACTTATTAAGGAATAGTAAAAAAAATGCAAAATTTTCAAAAATACACATACTATAAACTTTTAAATCTCTTTTTCTTATTAAAAAAGTACTAAAAAAGTAGATTAGTGATAAAATAGATGGGTATTGTTGAAATTTATCCTAAAAAAGTATACTAAAAAAGGAAATGGGAAGAATATTTCCGGACAGAACAAAAAGAAAAATGGGAAGAATATTTCCAGACGGAGAGAGTATTAAATTCTAAATATAAAATTTAAAGTGGAACATCATAACTTCTATCTTGAATAATTTAAATTTTAACATATCACTTAAATGTTTGGAATAGAAAATGGAAGATGCAATGTTTCGAAAGATAATTCCAATTCTATGAGTTTTATTGGAAATTGTTGGTTTATATTTTATTCATTTATTAAAGTATTCAATTTCGTATTAAAGTATTTTTGCAATAAAGACCTTCCGTCAACAAACCAAACTATGAATGTAATTTATAAGGAAGTGTTTCAAAACTTATAACACTGCATTTCGACTACAATCCTTGATGTACAATACCTTTTTGGGCAATTTTAATAAAATTTGTAATCTTTTTATTTTTTTTATTTTATTTTATTTCAAATCAAGACTAAATATACGTTATTTTACCACCCGTGCATCGCACGGGTACGAGTCTAGTGTGGTTTAAACTTGAGATCCTCACATGATCTAATCCATGAACATGATTAAATGATGTCTAATGATTAAAAGGATATTAAGGATGATACTATGTTAGAGACCTTATTATAAAACTTTATATGCTACAATCTGTAAGTGTGATTATTATGACGGTGGCACTAATAACCAAAAAGGTATTTTTTGGATAGTCTAAATCTAGATTTGAGCGTATAGATGTGGGCGATATTAGGAGGTGAGTATGTACGTACATTAGGTCCAGGCTGGTCAGGCGATTGGGGATCACTCAACCCGTGCGTCTGGAATCAGAAGAGTATTTATACCTAGACCGGGAAAGGCCACAGAACAAATTCTGAACTTGAAGAGAAGGGCACTCGGACCCAGACTCGGATAGGGGAAGTCTTATCGAGTCTACCTCTATGGAGAACGACTCAGTATGGCGTGAGGATAAAACATAAATGGTTGAAAAATAAGAGATGTCACTATTATCGTATAGTGATTAGTTAAGTTAAGGATGTTGACTTACTCTATGTTATGGATTAATTCCTAGTAGAGATACTCTCTTGATAAAATGAAGGAACAATAATGATTTATCAAATCTATAAATAAAGTATATTTGGCAATAATACCCTTTGTTCTTAATAAGTACTTTTGGATACATATGATTATATGAAGAGACGTGTTACACTGTGTCATAAATGAGGAATGTTGGAATTTATGGTTAAAGTTTTCATAAAATAGTTCAAGTGGATTTTCTTAAATGGAATGACCTAAAGATATTGATTCTCGTTGTAAATATGACTGTGTGATTATGAATAGTTCTATAGAATCTACGTTTTGGTACCACTAAGCGGTTTCACTGAACGTACAGTTGTCTTTGTTGTGTGACTGTGCGTAGGTAATAAGCTATGGCGTCCATTCGGAAGATACTAAGGCAAGAGAGTTGGCAGAAGGATGTGGGAACTGCTTTTAATTATTGAAATTTCTTGGGGACTTGAACTCATATATGTAAATATGGTGAATCTTATTTAGCTTCCGCAACGATTAAATTAAATTACTCCGAAAATTATTTTATCATATTTTGAGGAGACTATATTTTAAATGCTTTTATATTACTGTTAGTATTACTTTTAAAAAATTATGGAACGTTACTTTACCAAATTGCTAGCGCTCTGGTCTGCTAACCCGCGTGAACCGGGTTATGCGAATAAGGGTGTTATAGTACCTAAGTACCGTCCAGACGGTACAGGGTACCGTCCAGACGGTACAGGGTACCGTCTGGTGTCAGGTACCGCCAGAGGATTTTGGCTTGTGACGGTTGCTAGCTACTGTCACTAACGGTATGGCCGGTATCTCGCTACCAGTTGGCGGTATCAAGGTACCGTGTTTGGGGGAGTTTTGTACGGTGTCATCTTCAACCCTGGTCCAAACTTCTAAAACATCATTTTAAGCTTTTAAAATCCAATTTTACTTTATAAGAATGTTCTCTAATATCCATGGGCGGTTTTTGAACAATTTATTTGAAACTCTAATAAAAACAAGTTTGGTAATTATGAGTATAAAAATATTTATATTTTCAAATATATATGAATCAATACTTTGAAGGATCATTCCACACCTTCTAACATTTTTTTAAAATCATGGTACAGACCTGGAAATCGATGAGATGCAACTCAAGGAATGAACAGGAGCGATAACAAAGTCAAATCCATGAAATTCGTTACTTCTCGTCACAGATGTACCAGTCCGGGTATTTGGGTCATAGAGTGCTGCCGCATTCGTGCTTCAAGGCCTAAATTTAGTCATGTGTGATCTTGTTTGATTTGTCTTAACATATAGATTATTGATATATAATTTCTATAATTTTTTAATATACAAATTACACGATAAAATGGATTAAAGAAGTGAATTGGATGGTGTGTAAAAATGAAAGTGGACAAATAGAATGGGACGGAGGGAGTAAATCTCAATTCATAATTAAATCATTTGATATCATGCACGTAATGTTCAGTTCAGACATGTTCAGACAATTGTTTCTCGTCTGCTCTAAGTAAATCTCTGTTACAAACAATAGCCGATGACACTAAAATTACCAAGATACCATAGACTTTGAATCTATTTGCAAGCCGTTCCAAACGGGTTATTAGGGTACACAAAAGCAATAGAATTGTGCACGTAGACAAATTCGTATGGAGGAAGATTACTAGATCTCTTTTTTTTCATTTTTAACTTCACAGCGTTAGTGAAAAGTAGTCGTCTTCATCATCATCATCCCCGTCTGATTCGTTATCCTCAGAATCGAAGATTGAGTATTCTTCATCATCACTCTCTTCCCAAACATTCAAGTCACTATTAATTTGCCTTCTTTCAGCAAAGCCATCAAAATCAATTACTTCCTCACTCAATCCCCCAACGGAAAGCCTTTCATTATTCTTTTCTTTCCCTATTACTACTACTAAATCGTCCTCCCCGATCTCCCCCTTTTCAACTGCAAGCCATGGAACCCATACATCAGCATGCCTCCCCAATGCTCTATCCAAATCCCCCACCACCACCGTCCCCAAATTCACCTCCTGAGCCCCTCTCAACATCTCAGAAAAATCAGAATCGTCTGAAACCAACACCACCCAATCTACTCCTCCTCTGCTCATAGAGTGCTGCCGCATTCGTTGCTTCAAGGCCAAATCCGCTGCCTGTGGCTTATCTGCCACCATTCTCACAAACACCCCAGCTCGCTTCAGCTCCGACCCCAACCCGTACCCTTGTTTTGGGGCTATCAATCTCCTTGCTGCCTCGGCATACTTGTCGTTGTTGTCCAGAAACCTTTCCCTGTACCGCTGCCGCTTCTTCCCCTTCAGTGAAGCCATCCGGTTCAGCTTCTTCTGTCTCTCCCGTTCGTGCAGCTGCTTGAAATGATTCTTCAGATCGGAATTGGTCTTACATTTCCGGCCACACACGGAGCAGACGTACGGTTGATGCGGGGTCAGATCTCCTCGGCGCTCGAGATTATCCAGACGGCGTCGTTCGCGGCGCTCGTCGATGACCCAACGCGGCAGGTGGGTGAAGGCGTGACGGTTTGCAAAGGCAGACATGTCCGCTACGTTGCCGAATCTCTGAGCCATCCTCTTCAGCTCCACCGCCGCCTGGTACGGAGGACCCCGCGGCGGCTTGTTATCCAAGTCCCACAGGACGACGACTTCCTTGGGCTTAGCGGTATAAACTCCTCTCTTGTTTCTCACCATGTCGATTTCGTGCTCCGCCGCGACGGATCTGATGCTCCATCCAAATGTTCTGTGAGCGACGACTGAGGGTTTCGTAGGTAAGGGAAGCATGGGACTAAAGGAGAAGGCTGGAGAGAGGTTCTGTTTGGAGATAAATGAAAGGGGGATTTTGAATTGGATCATGCTACACTTACACCAAAAAATATACCTCATTTGTACACCACAAGTTTGCACAAACATTTCGATGGTTTACACCGACACAAGTGTTGGTGCGTTTATAAAAATTCACACGGACACAAATATTGGTGCGTTTAACAAAAATTAATTTTACACCAACACAAAGTGTTGGTGCAAAACTGCGGGGTACAAAACTTGGGGTACACATAGCATAATCCTTTTGAATTTTGTCCAATTGAAGTTGGAAATGATTGGTTCACAAACACAATGGTCACAAACTTCACAAATATACTATTCGTGAACTTTCATGCATAAAATTAAATGGTCTAAAATGATTTTAACATAAAATTTTAAATTATAAATAGTAAGTTTGTGAATATAGCATTGCTCATCCTCAATCGGCTCTCTCTCCTTTTCAAACGGAGTAATTGGGTAATTGGATCTGTGGACTTGTAGAAAAGATAAATGTGCAAAGAGCCATGATAGGGGTACACCAAACCATTTGTACACCACCTTCTTCTCTACCACTCATTTTAAATTAATTTTTATTTATTTATTTATTTTGATTTTCTTGCCCAATTATGTGGACAAGGAGGGGGTGGGGGACAAATGGGGTGTACCCCTAACATTTTTCATGTGCAAAACATGGATTTTGAAATTTTTAGATACAAAAAAATTAGTCAGAAGTATCCTAAATTTTCTCATGATAACAGACAAGTCCCACATTATCTAAAACTAGTATTTTGATCCGTGCCATGCAGGGGGTCAAACAAATTTTTTTGTCGATTCTAAAAATTTTCTTAATGTAATATTTTTCTGCAATAAAGAAAATATACTTCTCGCATGATTTTTACAGAGACAAAAAAATGAAGTGGAATAAATAATATTTTAGGAATTGAATGTGTACACAAAAAAAATTAATTCTAAATTTTCTGAAAGACTTTAGTGTAAGTAACATTTTTAGTATGGTTGTAAGAGTTTCATTGTCATCTAGGAGACTAGGACTAATATTTTTAATCATGTCTTTGTCTTCACTCGCGAAACAGCAACATAAAGCTGAACATGAGTGAACACCGACTTGGTGAAAAATAATCCAACAAATGACATTATTTGACCTTAACTTTTGTTGATAGTCATAGCAAAACATAAAACTATTGGAAATTGTCTTCTCTCAAACTTCAAGGATAGCCTGTATCAGATGGTACCAAATTCATCCGGGATATGTAAACATTTTTTTCCCCACTCAATTTCTCAAAACCACAATAACACTGATAACGTTCTTTCACAGCTTATCAACAATTAATCTTGTACGGTTACACAGTCTAGATGTTTGGTCAATGTTTCTTAATAACATAATTGGTACCCCCATTTTTAAAACTACTTGTGGTTTATAATCCCAGGTCATTTGATTTCATTCAAAAACTCAACTGTTATCCAATCGTCATCAACACCTACATTTGGATCTGCCTGACATGAAGAATCAGAACTCAAGCATGTTATTTTATCTTTGAGGATTGAGTGATATGACAAATTCATTTATCATTTCTAAACTTCAACCGTGGGTGCTAGTAGTGGCTTGTCCTCGAAAAAAGAATAATTTTTCTTATTCTCCAATAGGTTCGGATAAGTGAAGTTCACTATATTCTTGAGGGGAAAACTCATGTCTAGAATCAAGAATTTAGGCGAAATTTCAATGTCAGTTGTTCCATCAATCACTTGTCCAAGCTTTCCATCTCTAATTTGTATTATCCAATAAAAAAGCTTGTGTCTTTATCTGCGCAACAAGATGTAGATGAATGCAATCTCATATTTTTCGTTAACATATAAACTTTACAATATGACCATAATTTTGAAAAATTGATAGTAGCACCTACCATTTCCTCTCTCGAAGCTTTAGGTAAAACATGAAAAATTTGTTGAAAATTACATCTGAGTACAACCGTTTTCCATCTGAATGTAGGCCTGGACACGGTACCGGTGCGGTACCTTCACCGTCACCGGTACCGGCGGTACCGAGTACTGTCACCGTCACCGGAGACGACCTACCGGTTCCGGGTGTTAGCCTTGGTTTGCTAAGCCTCATGTTTTGATGTTAACAAACAATATAATAGCTTAACGTTTGTTTAAGTGTTTCAGGAAAACAAGAATCCATTAAGATTCGGTACTCAAGAATGAAGTCGAAACACTAAACTAGCGTAGAATATAGGTAGAAACCAATGTAAGGATATGATTTTATATACCTATATTCACAAGCTCAAAAACACTCACAAAACATGTTTAAAACCCTTTTATAATCATTTTCAAACATCCAAAAGGTTTTAAACAAAATTGGAAATGATTTGGACAAAAATAAAAAA